GTCAGGCGAATAAAAGTATTGTCCCAGCGATCGAGTCGTCTTCTTCTCAATACATACTACCGTTGACGAGCAAAACATTGCTCCTTCCAGAGTTATACGAATTGGCCAGACCCAGGCGCAGACTCAGGCGCCAGCCAGCCAGCTGTGGAATGTGAGTCACACTTCGGACGCCTGCACCTGATTCCACCCCCGGTCTTCTTGATACCGGACCCAGAGCGTGCAGTAGATGCAACGCAAGTTCACTATCACCTAAAAGTAACCCGCTTATAAGTAATTGTCTCTGCCCTGCCACGCTGTGGAACACACGGCAGACGCAGTCGGAATAGACAGTTGAGTTGCCCTGGTATAGTGGTCAGAGTCATGGTTTGCAACCTTTATGCAACCAACCATGGCCCGCGCTTGCTTTTTTGAGCGAGCTCAAGGACTCACTTATCTCGCACATGGCTTCACTGAAGTTGCCTCCATGCCAGTTGGCCCTCTGCAACCCTATATATCAAACAAACCCCTTCCTAAAGGTGCTCTTCTATGCACTTGACGGCTCTTAGAGAAAATGTGTAGCCAGAGACGCCACAAATCTCTGAAGGCAGCATGAGCAGCAGCTATACACATTTTCTTCCTCTAATACTGTTTCATTTCTTCTCTTCCTTCCTTTCTTTCCCACCCGCAGCCTCTTCTTTGTCATTGAGTTTGTCAACGGTGGTGATCTCATGTATCACATGCAGCGTCATCTACGCCTGCCGGAGGACTACGCCAAGTTCTATGCGGCGGAAATTTGTATAGCCCTCAACTTCCTCCACGAACGCCAGATTGTCTACAGAGACCTCAAGTTGGACAACGTACTGATGGACTGCGAGGGCCACATCAAACTCACTGATTACGGCATGTGCAAGGTGAGTAGTCAGTCTCATAGGCCTGCTAAACATCTAGCCTCTATTTAATCAAACCAGAAGCACTTACCAAAACCCACGAACCTATGATGGACATTTTTCAACGTGCTAAATACAAACATGTCCACTAATGGATGCGGGCTTTTTATCTCAGAAACCCTGCGTAAGCTGGTAACCGAGAGAACCGCATCCCTCGCGTTTCCGTTGTTTCAACTAACGCCAGTTTAGGTTCCATGACGTGAGTTGTGCATGTTCATAGACGTTTGCATTGCAGACAAGCTTCTTCTCCTCGAGCCCCATCGAGGTCATGCGTGTGTGTCTGAGGCTGTAATGCTCACTAGCATGGAGCATACTCCTGCGTCGCTTACTGCATTGTGTCATTCGTCTGTGTAAGCGGTATCCAAAGGATACCTCAGTACACCCCTGGGTCTGTGCGTGTGTGTGTATTTGTCTGTCTGTGTGTGCGTATGCGAGAAGATGGAGGACTGAGAGTCAGGCTGCAA